TTTGCCTTTTGAGTTAAGTATCTCTCTTAATTTTTTTTCTTCAGAAAGAAGAAAATCCAGAAACTTAGTCAGCAAAGGCAATAATTTCTTTACAACAAGGTTTTCATACTGTGGCTAGCTATCTATAAATGTCTTTATGGCATTAACTTTACAAGTTGCAGTAAGCATTAAAATACTAGAGCAAAATAGAGTAGAAAATAGAGTGCACAACACATTAAGAATGTAATTTCTATTGTGAACTTTTGTTTTTGGATATAAATGTTGGTGTGTATATGTATGGTGGAAAATGTATTGCTTAATGTGGTTCTAAGTCAAGGTTTGAAAACTGGCTTAGAGAGTGGTGGGATAGAGAGAATAAGGAGGTTGGGAACACCTACATGCTAACAAACCTGGTCCCAGCATGGTGGGGCCTCCCACTTGGCCATATGAAATGGCAGAGCATGCCTGCCTGACTCAGCCTGCCTAAGAAAGGTACTGATTTATAAAGGCTTCTTCCTACACTTAGCACTTCTGTCTCAATGCTAAAGACCACATCTGTTAACCTTTGTAGTGACACCAGTCCTGTGGTTTGCCAGCTTCTGTTCTAGGGTGGGGACAGGTTGGAGATGAAGGGAATTGTCTGTAGGGCTCTTTTCTGTTTATAATGACTAAGTCATTATGCCCACACAATTTCTAAATTTCCTACTTTTTTTTTTTTAAAACCTACAGAGCATTGAGATAGCACACAGAAATTTGAAACCAGGCAAAATATTTATCAATAAAGGAGTGGTGGATGGTGCCCAGATCAACCGAAGCCCTTCTTCTTACCTTCAGAATCCACAGTCAGAGAGAGCAAGGTGAGGGCTAAATTATCAAAACAAAATCTTTAGGGAATAGAATCTAAGAATGGGGCTGTTACCTCAGAAATTCCGTGGGCTCTTAAAATAATTTTAAAAACGTGTTTATAACCTTTGACAAGCAGAAATAATTGAGTTGGCAAAACACATGATCTATGCTTGTGTCTTCCTGCTTTGCTGCTTATTGTTGCTGGGAACACTTGAAGGACTCTGGGCTTTGGAATAGGAAACAGTGTCTCATATCAACTTTATCTTTTCCTACTTTTGTGACCTCTGGTAATTTACTTAACTTAATGGTGCTCAGCTTCTTCATCTGTAAAATGGAGATGAAAATGTGCAGAACATGTGTTCATTAAGTTAATGAATAGTTTTTCTTATGCTATTCAGAAGAAGTCATTTTAGTTTAGGAGAATGCAGCTGAGAGAGGGGATAGAAGAGTATGGAAACTGGAATGAAGAAGAAATAAAACTAGTGTGATTACATGGAATAAGTAAGACATATTTTTTCTTTTGCATTTTGTTCTTTTTTTTAAGCAATGAGCAAGGTTTGTCACAGAAGTACTTGGCTATCATGTCAGTATAAAATAAGTCCTCAGTTCAACCTGACTACTCTCATTTTACATCTGTCTGTAGTTTTTCAGTAATTTTCAAAAGAATTGATTTTTAGAAAATAGAATCTGATTGCCTGTGAAAGGACATAAAAGAATACTTTAAATTACAGGTCATAAGTGCTTTTGATTTTGCATCTTTCCTGCTATTTTTATATCTCATTAAATTTGATATAAGTAGGAACTTCAAAGACAAATTATTTTTATAAGAAATTTCTATGAAATATAGTATCACTTATATTACAAAAAATGTGTATGTCATCCCCATGAGCTGGCCTAGTGCCCCTTTCTCTGATCACAAGCCATTTCTGAGTTCTGGGTGCAGTGTGTAGGGTCACAGCATGCCAGATAACCCCACTCACAGAGAAGTGTGTGGTTTTTGCTTTTGTGTCAGTTTCTACTGTTTGTAATGTAAGAGGACTGAGTTCTAATACAGAGCTGACAATGTTTCTTTATTTTGCTGACTAGGTATTCTTCAAACACGGACAAGGAAATGGTAATCTTGAAAATGGTAGACTTGAATGGTGATGAACTGGGCCTTATAAGGTACTCTATTTGCTTTTTGAAAATCGAATTCTGTCTCCCTTAATTATGGGGGCTGAGAGGAGGGATAGGAAGACATTAGATTAGTGGCAGCAGAGACTGAGAATAGTTGAATGGTTAGCAGTCTTGATTGGAGAGTCATAGACATGTGGGATCCAGTCAAGGAAACTTGGCGTATTCTCAGTGTCTCAGGATTCTTTAAGACAAAGCTAGTAAGTTGAATCTGTGTAAGACAGATCTGGACACAGAGACCAGCACTATCTGGCACAGCTTATAAAGACTCATTAAATTCAAGTGGTTATTACTTTATCAAGATTTCATCTGTACAAATTCTGTGGTGGTAGACAACTACCTTTTGACAAAACGAGGAAGCAGTCTGACCAACCAGGCCAGTGATTAAGGGATTGAGATAGTTACCTTTATTTTCCTAAAAGGATTATGTTGAGACTAATGCAGAACAATTCCAATTAGTGATGAAAAGAGAAATTAGATGTGGAAGCAGATGAGGTAAAATTCCATGTTGGTAACAGATTTTTGCACTGTTTTGTATTTACAAAAATGCATGGATTTTGGAAGGTGTCCGCATTCCTATGTGATGTTGGTTGTTTCAGTTGGACTGACTCAGGAACTCATTGGTGGGTAACAGACCCAGACAACTTACCTGTGGAATGCCAGATGATACATAAAACCCTCTACCCTCCAGGAAGTGGAGAGGGCAGCGAGGGCCGGATGGCTGGGTTACTCTGGACTCTAATCCTTCTTAGCTATGTGACTTTGATCAAGTTATCTAACTGTTCCATATCTCAGTTTTGTTATCTCTATTATGGAGGGATATAGTGAGTCTTTAAAATGTTTACAATAAGTGTTAGTAAAGGCGACAGAAATCTTCAGTAAAGGTTACAGGAATCTTCCAAATATAATTATGAAATATCTAAATGAAAGTTTCTATTCAAGTAAAATGAACCGTAATGAAAAGTGAAGAAAAATACTGAAGACTTAACTCACAGTTCAGATACAAAGGTTGGCCTTTTTTGAAAAAGTTGTTGATAAGAAGTTCAAGGTTTAGAAGTTCAGGTTTTATGTGTTGGTTTTAGGATTTGGGTTCAGATCCCAATACTGCTGTTTACTAACCTTGTGGTTGGGGAAAGTCATTTATCCACTTATAACTCCACTTTTATATTTGAAAATAAGAATAAGAGTACTTATTTTCTATTTGAAAATAAGAATAAGGGTTGTTGAGAAAGCAAATAAAATAATAAGAATTTAACAATTTTATTTATTTTATAAGAAGAGAAATATTTTGTATTTTAAGTAACTCCATTAATGGCATATTAGAGTGCTTGAAATTCTTAGCATCAGAGTTACTTCTCTAGGTTTAATGTGGGGGTCACTAATTAATTCCTGGTATACTTTATTATAGGGATTAATGCAGTAAGGCTCATTCTTCCATTACAATGAATCCATCTATGATTGGTGTCTACTAAATATTTAACTCAACAGGGTTTCTGAATGCTAAGCATGTAACTATGCACTTCAGAGGTCTTACAGGCTGATGGGTGATTGGAACAGGAGGCAGACAGGCAAAAGTGTAATTAATAATAACATAAATCAGATCACCATCTGTGTTATCACTTGAGCATAAATAAATGCTGTGGAATTTGAAGGGTGTAGCATTATGGAAGGTTTCACAGAAAAAAAATGACTTCTCTACTGAACCTGAGAGATGGTGAGGCTTGTTATAGAGTGACAGGGGAAAAAAAATTCAAAAACCAAAAGGAGTGAGTTTGAACTCCAGAGAATGGGGTGGATCAGGGGGAGAGTGAGACATGATATTGGGAAGGTAAGATAGCTTTAGATTGTGGAACACTTGTGGGAAATTTGGTTAGGAGATGTTCCAGGGTAATAGAATATATCTGTGGCTCCATAGAAAATGACTTTTTCATTATAGTGTCTATTTAATTCTTGACTGAATGATTCCATCATGATTCAAGTTTTTAGTTGCTGAATCATTTAACAATGTAAAAAAAAAAACCTTCAAATTCTATCCTTTGTCCATTTTTTTTTTTTCGCTTCTCAGCATACTAAGATGTCCCAGGGTTAATTATCAAGGTTATAATGCTTTTCCATCTGCTTTGCTGAACACCCTGCAATAATTCCCCATTGTTTCTATAGTCACCACATGCTATCCTTGATGTAATTGCTTCTGCAGTTACCTCTGTTGCCCAGTGATAATTGCTTTTGGAATACATTAAAAATTTTATAAAACATAGAGTTAAACCTGGGCTGCTAAATAACTCAACCACCACATGTAGGTTCCTGCTGTTAACAGTTGCCCAGGTATAGGAATTTGGAAGCATAGAATCTCTGAATTTCATGGAGATCATCTTCACCTAAGTCTTAGAAAGGCAATGATCTGCTCAGTGTGTTACTACACACTGAAAGCCACACTGAAGTTCAAATTTATTCCTTCCTACTTTCATTTTTGCTCTCATTTCTTCATTTAGTAGTCTGCTGCTCTGTGTCATGCAGCACTGCCAGTCCTTAAGATCCTTGGAATCAGTCATTGAAATCAGGAATAGATACCTGTGTTATTCCCTGAGCAAATCTCTTAAACTCCCTGAGATTATGCTTCACATTTTCAAATGTGACTGCAGCACCTTCTTACCTACAGGTTTATTAAATATCATGAAATATATGTTATGAAGCTAATAATATGAACATGTTGATAAGTAAAAATAGATATAGTTGCTGTTTTTATAGGAGTATGGTCTGCTAATGGAGACAAAAGGTAATAAAATAGTCATATAAATATGTTCAATATAATTGAAGCGATATAGGGGTTTGATTTGCTCATGGAGATTGGGAAAGGCTTTCCTGAGGACATGAAATGAAACTGAAAGCTGCAGAAAGGATAGGAATTAACTCACAAAATTGGGGGGGGGGTGGAAATAAACATTAGCCTAGATGGACTGCTGGTGCAGTTCTGAGGCCCATTTGAGGAACTGATAGCAGGCCTGTGTGGCTGGGGTGCAGAGACGAGAGGACAGGGTTTGGGGACCAAAGGGATGGGTAGAATTTAGGTGCCATGGTAAAGATTTTGTTTGGTATTTACACCAAGAGAATGGAAAATCATTAGAGTATTTGAAGCTGGAAATTGGGAGTTGGGGCCTCCTAAATGTCTAAGAACAGTGGGTGATTTGAGGAATGAAACAGAATTATTGTGTGAAACCATTCCATCAAGTCCTCAATTATTGTGAGGCTACTCTGCTCTAGCTGATCTAAGTAAGAAAAGGATTTCTGTCATTTTGACTGATAATGCTTATGCAGAAAAGGAAATTATTTTTCTCCAGACTTGGAAAATATATTTTTGATGTTCTGTATTCTGAATTAAAATGTAGACTGTAGTTCCCATAGAATTTCCACCACTAGTTTATACCAGAGAAAAGAAAGCAAACTTTGTAGAAAGCAAAATGAAAAAAAAAGATGTAAAATATATACAAATAAATACTTTTTAAAAAAATTCAAATAAATAAATAAAATGCAGGCTGAACTATGAATGCTAAGAGATACTTCCAAGAACAAGTCTGCTGTCTAATGGAGAAAATGAATCTTGAGAGACCCAGTGTAGTAAGACTCCCTATGTGTGTATAAACTCCAAAAGAGAAAACAGAGCTTCTGAATGTTTGAGTGAAAGGAAAGCCAGAGATAGGGGAGTCCCCTGTGTGATGTCAGTGGATAGGCTGCCTCAATTCTCTGCCTCCTCTGATCACTTTGCCTCTGCAGGTTTCTTCCTTGAGGTTGCAGAAGTGGCATAACTTTTTCCTTTTTCTCACCTTATTAGTCCTGTGAGAGTTGGTATGATTTGATTCCTGTTTATTGGCTCTGCGAGGAAGCCTAGCAGGGTATTTGAGCGATTGCTCCATTCCTTCTGTTTTATACATTGAAAATCATTTTTCAGAGAAGGGTCATGTAAGGGGACCCTTTAAAGACTCATTAAGGAAAACTAAGGACAGGGCTCTCCATGGTGGCACAATCGGTTAAAGCACCACAAACTCTCCAAAGCCACTGCAGCAGGAGTTCAATTCCCTGCCAGGGAGCTGACCCACATGGCGCGGCAGACCTCTCCTGACCCGCCCGCTGCTCCCCTCAGCAGTGTACTTTGTCAACCTGCCTGTTCTGCTCCCTACTCTGTCTCTGATGAACCCTCTTACCCACCACACCTCTGGCCTGTACCCCAGTTCTGTAAGCATAAATATTTTTTTAAAAAAAGGACAGGCACAGCAGACCTCTCTTGCTTCACCTGCTGCTCCCCTTAACAGTGTATTTCAGTCAGTCTGCCTGTTCTGTCCCCCACTCTGTCTCTAGTGAATGTGTTCACTGCCTGCACCTCTGGCCTGGTTCTTGTATGCACCAATAAATAAATCTTTAAAGCTAAAAACTAAATCTTAAAAAAAAAAAACTAAGATGATGATTTTTTTTAACTTCCTGAATTAATGTGTCCATGAATGTAGAAAAACCCAATTTATGAGTTGGATGGAGACAAAAGGATGGAGACAAAAGGTATTTAAAGTTGACTTTTTTTTTAATATATCTATTTATTTTACATCATTCTTCATTTTGTGCATTTTTCATCTCAGTTGTAATCCCCGTGGATTTCCCATCACCACTTCACCCATGTGCCATCACCACAGTCCCGTGTGCCCTTCCCACCCCAGTTTTGATCCTGTTCCCCTTTCCATCCCCATAGTATGTCTCTGGTTTATAGTTGTTCATTGACTTTTGTTTTGTTAATGTTGAACTTTTCTACATGTCTTCACTTTGGGCTGCTCGTCTCACTTTTTCAATGCTTCTCTTTCTTCTACATTTTTAGGATTGATAGATATTTGGGAAAAAAAACCTAAAATCTTTAAATGGTAGATTGTAAATTCCAAAGATGGCTGCACAATCCTTATCCTTACCCTGATCCTTTGTGTTCCATAATAGTGACCTTCCATGCATCTCCAGCAACAGGTTGAAGATGATTGCTTTTCCTGTTGACACTTGCTCAACTTCTTTGTCCACAGGATGACAGAAGAGCCACTATGTTAGGACTGGGGTAGTTTTTTACAATTTTTTAAAATTTCAATTGATAAAGCAATTTTAGGTTCACAGCAAAATTAAGCAGTACAGAAATCCCATTCCCATACATGTACCTTCCCCCACCATCAACATCCACTGCTAGAGTGGATACATATGCTACAGTTTATGTAACACATCATTGCCACCCAAAGTCTGGAGTTTATGTCAGAAGTCACTCTAGTGTCAAGTGATTTTTGTGTGTGTTTTCTAATGTTTGTTTTGTTCTTATATTTTCTAAAATTTAACAGTGAATAAAGAACTCAGTAACTTTTATTACTCTTGTTACGTAGTTTTTTAGATGTTTTCCTAATCAAATATATATTATTTTTTACTTCATTTTTTAAATTTTTAAACAAATTTTAAAAGATTTTATTTATTCATGCAGAACTGGGGTACAGGTCAGAGGCACAGTGGTGGTGAGAGGATTCCTCAGAGACAGGGTGGGGAGCAGAACAGACAGATTGACAAAGTACTGTGCTAAGGGGAGCAGTGGGTGAGACCAGAGGTCTGCCGCGCCATGTGGGTCACCTCTGGGGCGGAGGAACGAACTTGCACTGAAGCGGCTATAGCTGGCTTGCAGGCTGTGCTTTAACCCTCTGTGCCACCAGGGAGGGACCTATATATTATTTTTTAAAGGTGATATTTTGACATATGTAATTTAGAAACACTTTATATTTTTCAATGCTACTTAGTATTTTTAAAATCATCTTTAAGATCACTATATAGTCTTCCATTAGATATATGATAAGGTACTCAAGTAACCAGCAAGCATTTCATATTTAATTCATAGATTTTTCCATTATTAAATACATTGCAATAACCGTTCTTGAATATATCTCCTGTACATGTGCCAGTGATTTGGTTAAGCTAAATTCCTAGAAGTGAGATTGCTTGGTCAGAGAGGGATGCTTAATATTAAATTTTCTCTTAAGTTGCCAAATTGCCCTCTACACAGGCTTTGGTGATTGGTATTCCTGTGATTGAAGCATGAAAGGAGTATTGCTCTTGGCAATGTTGACATCTCGTACTTTACAATAGTTGTTAAGTAATACAACAGATATAGTGGAGAGCCTGCCTCTCTGGAGCAGAGAATGCAGAAAGCTGCTTTAGGATGCTGGCTCTAGTATACTTGTTCTATCAGAAGTACTTCTTTGGCTACAATTCAGTGGCTTTCTAAAATCTGAGCAGTATGATCTGTATATTTTACTTCTGTCTGTTTAAAGTTCAGATTACCTTTGGGCAAAATTTCTGGTGCAAGAAACCTTCCAGTATAATACAGTGAAAACACTCTTTTCCCCCTTCACCAAATGGTTTGTACTGAGGAGGGGTGATAAGTGACTGTGAGAGAGGAAGAAAAAGTGTATTAAAGCCAGGAACAACAGACAAATGGGACATTACAGTAGCTTAACACATCAAAGGCTTATTATCCACTTAGGAAAGTCTAATAAATATTGGGCTGTTCCTCTGTACAATAGGGTTTCGCCTCCACCCTGACTATGGGACTAGGAAATAGCTGAGCATGACTGGTTTGTAAACCATCAGATCTCCGCCACCAGAGGGCAAGGTTTCCTCATTTAAGTATTTCATGTGCTATCACATAGGCTACACACACACACACACACACACAGCATCTATTTTAAGATTGTATTAACCTTATGGAAAATAAATACACCATTGTTTTTCTTCTGCCTCATCCTCCTGATCCTCCTGTTAGTTAGCTTCAGTATCAGTATGATCACCATCATCAGTGATGAATTATTTCGTTTTTAGGTTGGGCTTATCTTACCCTGATCCTTTGTGTTCCACAATAGTGACCTTCCATGCATCTCCAGCAACAGGTTGAAGATGATTGCTTTTCCTGTCGACACTTGCTCATCCATTTTTTGAATGGATGTACAATATTCTCTTCCCCTATTGGTGCACTTTTATTTTGAAGATGACTTTTAACTTTTATGTGCAAGTCACACAAAAGCTCTTCCTTCTCTAACTCAGTGAGCCAAGAAGGGACTGGTCAATTTAATTTTGTGCAAGACAGAATCAGTTCATGAAAAATGATGGTCCAGTGGGCCCTGGGATGGGTTTGTTACTGCTTTAGAACATTTAAGAAGCTGAATATCGCAACGGACTTTTCTTTTCTGTTGCCAAGAAAAAGTACACAATGTCTGAATTGAAAGAGATCCCAGAGATAATTATTTCAAATGCTTTAATTACACAGGAGGAGAAAATAATAATATTCTGTATTAATTTACTGTTTATTAATTTACAAACATGGTTGAGATCTAATATTGTTTGACTTAAACAGTGATTCAGAAATTTTAACTAATTTTGTGCAAAGTAGGATAAAATCCCAAATCCCATTTTTCCCTCAGTATTCTTCATTGTACCATGAAGACTCAAGTTGAACACTTTTTCTATTGTACTAGAAGATAATATTTTAAAAATATTTATTACTAGGGCATATTTATTGTTTTATATGTGTATTTTAAGTTTTTCTGAAACTCCCTACACCATTATTCCTTTCTTTTTGAGTTTGGTTTTATGAATATTTTTGACCAGGAAAAATAAATTGTGAGTAGCCTTGTTAAAGAGACCATCTTTCTGCATGTGTTTATGAATATTCATCTCTTACTATAGTACTTTGTTTACTGTGACAACTCTGATATTTCAATAGCATATATTTCAAAGGGCAGAAGAGGAGTTATAAAGCTTCTTATTCTGAAATTCAATTAACCTTTTAGAGTGCATATTTTTTGTCTAGAAGAGAAAAATTACAATTTTCTAAGGCCTAAAATAAGGCCTTAAACACATAAGCATTGAAGTCTATAGACTAAGGTCAAAATTTGTGGCCTTCACAGATATATCATTGGTGAGAGTAGATTTCTCATAGTATAGTTATATACTTAGCTACTAATAATTCCATATTGATTGTATGATTGGAATAATCATGTTAAGTGAAAATAAAGATTAATGATAGACAAAGAGTTTACTAAGTAATCAAACTGAGGAGCAAGTCTGGGAAACAGGATAGCAGATTTTTACTTCAGTAAACCCATGTTTGAATTCAGTTTACATATAGAGGAGAACAGTGAGTAATTGACATTAAGACATTATTGACAGGAGTGGCTTCTCGTTCTAAGTTGTCCTGACCCAAATATATGCTGCTACTAGGGGAAGATAATGCAGGATTAATTTTCCTTGTTAAAGGAATACTCCACAGCCATGCAAAAGTTAGGTACCCATTATTATATCTCCTTTTTCATTCTGAAAGATACTACCTTGAGATGGCAAATTCCAGCATACAGGATAGAACTTGTGAAGATGACTTTGTTCTATCTTTTGATAAACCAAGGGCTAGGTCATCAGAATTTTACAGTATGTTCTCAACCACTGTCTTCCTTGTCTTAATCTGTTCTGCTCGGACACCTTGACTGTACTTTTACAGTGCACATCTTCATCATTGTTCCACTGCACATCTTCATACTGTTCCTCCCCATCTTTATCATTAGCTCTGAATTATTTTTCTCCAGTTATTCCCTTGCCAAGTTCTTGTGCATCTTTTAGGACCTCTCTCTCTCGAATGTCACATCTTTCATGAAGCATTTCTCAAGAGCAATATCTCAGTCATCTCTACATCTCCAGCTTTGGTACAGGGTCAAAGTGAACTAATCATGTATTGAAGGAGTGAATAAACAGAAGAGACAGCCTGCTTTTGAGAGCAAGTAAAATGTGGTCTTTACTGGTTCGACAAACCTGCTTCTTGACTTCGAGTTGTGTGACCTGAATTGATTTACTTCACCACTCTGAGACTTCATTTCCTTAATTTAAAAATGAGGATAATGATAGCATCTGACTTGGGAGATTTTGTGAGAATAAAAAAAAAAAAGATCTTCTGTAAAAATCTACCTAGGAAGTGCTAAATGTTGATGTTGACAGAATTGTTCTACCAGTTTCCTTTGAGTGTGCTGGAAGGATTGCAGTCTGGCTGAATTTACCTGATCTCAATGTGAATCACATAGGATGGAAATATTTTGGTGGGGGAACGATGGATGGTAGTGACCACTACCCTTTTTTCCATCCAAACTGAATATAATGAAGCTATAACTGGAAAATGCTAGTTAACTACAACTCCCTCCAGAACTTGAGTATTAGGAAAAAGGACAGACAACAAAAAAGGATCTAATAAAGGTTTTTCCATTAACATAGAATGCTTGTAGGTAGCTTTTAAGGGGTGACTCTAAAAGATCTTCAACCAAAGCATCTCTATTTTTACGAAGTGGCAAATATGTATCTTGGAGGTTGAATTCAGTTCATAGACTGGATATGTGGCTCTTGTTAAAAGTTTATAAAGAAGATGATGTTGATGAATTATAGAAATAATTTTGTATTTTTAATTTAATTAAAATATTGAGTATGTATTTGTGATACATACTCACAAATGTATTTTTATTAACAATGAATGAAATTAAATGTGCATGCATACAATTAAAATATATACTTACTATTGGACAAAAATTCCAATAGGAAGTTTTTGGTCCCATTTCTTTGGTCTCCTCATTAACATACATTTTCTTGCTCTTTTACAGCTGGTTTGCCATCCACCCAGTGAGCATGAATAATACCAACCATCTTGTAAATAGTGACAATGTGGGCTATGCAGCTTACCTTTTTGAACAAGAGAAGAACAAAGGATATCTACCTGGAGAGGTGAGAATTTATGCTGTCAAAGGTTTCCTCTTAATTCATTGATTATCATTATTCATGCAATATTCAGAAGAGCTGGTTCCAACCCCCAGAGTGAAGTGTCATCATGAATGTCATATTCTTGGGGATGGAAAGAATTCTTTTTCCCTAATAGGTAGTGAAAAATTAGAAATGACTAATAAACTTTGTCTCAAATGCTACTTATTTTGATGACTTTATAAAGTTATTTGGATAAGGAAGAACAAGTTCAAAATTTGCACAATATATAGTAGATTTGGCTCAAATTGAATATATGATAGAAATATATTAATGTTTACTTTTGTTTTCAGAGCTAGGAAAATTTTAAATGCATTCTGAATGGTGTAAGAACGACAGGTGATAAGTCCTTCACACAGATCTAGACTTCCCTCTTAAAGTTAAATTTCTTTCCAAGGACATTCTTCTACTCTTCTGCAGTAAGACATAATGAGAGACATTCCTTTTCCATCAGACTTGTATTTGTGACTTTGCAATACAGTGACCGATGGCATCAGAAAAGGGTGGGAGACAGAAATTTAGTCCTGTGTGCCCCAAAGCTCTTCAGCTGTGTGTAAACTGCAGACTACATATAGATAAGTGGGAGAAGCCAAAAATGCAGCACAATCTATGATGGATGAGAGTCCCAGGTCCTCATCCAGAACAGATGTTCTGATATAAAGATATTAGCCTCATGAAACGTCTATCAGTATCAGACCTTTTAGCTCCTTTGTTTACAGAACTGTTTTTTAATTTTATCCAGCATTCCAGGAAAAAGTTAGGAGGCTCTGGTTTATGATCACTGACTGAATGCTAGGCATTTTAAGATAAAATCCTTTTAGTGTTAAAAAAAAGTGATCTCTCAAATCTTGTGGGTAAACTATAGAATTGAAGCAGCAACATGGGAGAAGGGGGGAGAGAACAAGGGACTGTGGTGATGATTCATGGGTGATGTGGTGGGTTTATGGGGACCATCCCTGAGGGGAGAAATCAAGTATTGTACAACAATAAACCGTAATATAAGACAATTTAAAAAGGAGTTTTTTTTCTTAACTGATCTCTGGTATTTATCTTTTTCTCTAAGAAAATGAAAGACATTTAAGGTGGAATGGTAGACCTATTGTGTTGAGATTAATACTTTGCACCCCCTGAAAGGTTATGTGTTTTTTTTTGTTGTTGTTGTTGCTGAAGAAATAGAGAAAAAGTACAAAAGGAAGGTCTGGAATATAGATGCCATATTTAGGTTTAGTTTTCAGAAAAATCTAGATTGACTCTTTTAAAAACCAACAGGGTATTTATATCTAAAGGGCAATGGATTTTGCCACTCCAGATAAAACAATGGAGAGCTTGATGGGTTAGCATTTTATAATTTATTGTACACTGTATTTCTTGTCAAAATGTTTCTGTTTGAGGCACATATTGGAAACTCCTAAGACACAACTTTTTTAGTAGTTGGAATATCATTAATAATAATGTGTATACTGAATGCTTCATGAGACTTTCAAAATAAAAATTTTCTCTGAGTATTGTATTAACCCTCAGTGCATGGAAAAGAGTTTGAATAGTTCATCAGAGTAGATAGAATGTTTATATATTTTTGGAAACACTATAGGAAATAAAGAATAAAAAACAATTGGATGTTTCTTTTGGCAGGGACCTTATGTAGCAGCTTTTGCTTCATCAAACCTAGGAGATGTGTCCCCCAATATTCTTGGTCCACATTGTGTCGACACAGGAGAATCTTGTGATAACGCCAATAGCTCTTGTCCCCTTGGTGGGGTAGGTAACTATAACATTAAATCTTTTCTTTTTTGTATATCATAGCTACTTTAATTATTGATCTTTAATTTACAAATATGTTCTTCATCAAGTGTACATTGATCTTTTGCAACCTACTCTTTCCAAAAGTACCTACTAAATTTTTCAGGTAAAACTGTTCTTCCATTTGATTGACATAGATTTTTTTCAGTTAGTGACACAACTTAATAAATGTCAGGTATTGCATACTATCCCCAAACTTGGACTTTCTGAAACATTTTGTCTTGGCATTTTTTCACAAATTAGTACCAAAAGCAGTTTGAGACATTTCTCTTGATTGAAAAAAAAGAAAAAAGACTCCTCCAGCCATGGAATCTAAGTTCTCATTAGTCTGGTTAGGTCAAATTATGTTTCAAACATATCCCTGAACCAAAATCGTTGCTGCAGGGGTGGGTATGTATAGGCTGATATAACCTGGATTTTCTGACCAGTCTAGCAAGACCTAAGGAATATCATGGTTTCCTTTGGTTGATTTGGAACTAAGAGATGAGTTATTGCTTGAGAAAGATGACTTTCTAAACCAAAGTGGAAATCACTTAAGAAAGAAGAGAGGGAAATGGGTAAGAATTGCCCTGTCTTCTGCTTTAATGTGGTCCTTCGAAAATAATTTAAAAATTATAGAGTATATTATAGAGTATGCTGCCTTACAAATAAATGTATGTGTAAGTTTATATGACTAGGATCTTACTGTAATGCTGTTCTATTTACTGCTTCTTTGTTACTAGTAAATATACTTATAGCATCATTGGTCCTGTGATTTTTCAATTGTAAGTATTATCATTTGCTAGCCAGTCTCCTGCCATCAACTATTTCCTTCCCTTTCCTCCATTTTCTTTCACACCATTTCTTCTTTTATTTTTTCCGTCCTTCATATAAATATGCTAGGGTCACTATGCTGAGGCATATTTCATATGTGGATGGGTGTCACTTTAAATTCTTAAAAGAGCTCTTGCTGTCAAAGAAAAAGCAACTCTGACTTCTTCTACTCACTGTCCAGTGCCTTCTCAGTCATGTTCTACAGTGCATGAGCAACACTTAATGTTGCTCACCAACATCACTTTTGTTAATGTTTCAATCTTGGCCAAGATGATTGCAGTGCAGACCTCTCTCTTTGTAGCTTAAATTTGCATTGAATTGTTTAAGAAATCGAACACATTTTAATGTAGAATGAACTTTTACAGTTCCATGTTTGTGAATTACCTATTTTATTTGTATTTTCATAGTGTATAATTAAGAGCCATTTTTGCTTTTATTCCCCTGATCAACTTTATTGAGATATCATTGACATGTAACATTAAATAAGCTTAATGTGTTTAATGTACTGATTTTGATATACACACAGGATATTTTTTCCTGCTCATAAGAGATTACTGAAGTCATTATGAAATCAAAGTTTTTTTTTAAAGATTTATTTATTTATGCATCCAAGAACTGGGGTACAGACCAGAGGTGGAGGGAGGGGTGAGAGGATTCATCAGAGACAGAGTGGAGAGCAGAACAGGCAGATTGACTGAAATACATTGCTGAGGAGAGCAGTGGGTGAGATAGGAAAGGTCTGCCATGCCATGTGGATCACCTATCTGGCTGGGGATTGAACTTGTGGTGCAGTGACTGCAGATAGCTTTATAGTGCTGCACTCCAATCCTTTGTGCCAGCAGGGAGGGCCCAAATCAAAGTTTATTTTAAATTGATTCTCTAGAGCTCCTAATATAGTAAATTCTTATTTTGTCATAAATTCACACACACACACACACACACACACACACACACACACACACACACACTTCTGATAGACCAGTTCTCCTACAACCTTAAACTGTTTAAGCTGTCAGATATATTAGACCTTCCTATAAAACATTTAGATTTTTCTTCCACATTCTTAGACCCAGTTTCTTTTATTTTTTTAAGCATTTCAACTCATATTAAAAAAAATCTTTGTTGTTCCACTTACAATATTTACATAATTGATAATCAAATTTTTATGATTTAAGTAAAGTAGAGGTCCAGATTTATTTACTGATTTCCCCCCCCACCCTCAAGAAAGTAATTTGTTCCAATATTGTTTTAATTGATTTTCAGTTTAAGATGATTGAAAGGAAGAATCATAAACAGAACAAGCCAGGTAGAAAGATAAAGCAAATGTAGAAAGTGACAAATGGAGAGGCATGTTTTTAAATCTTAGATCAGATATTAGCTATCTGGATCATCTCTGATAAATCTAATTCACGTTAGCCTTTATGTTCTCATTTTCTTCAGTTTTATTATTGAAACGAAAGGAGAATAGAAAGTTTTTAAAGATACTTACTGGTCTAATTCCATAAGTGCCTTTTGGTCTTCATAACTTGCAAATTGAAAGAGTACCTGAAAAGAAATGCTAAAATGTGGCTTAAAACTGCTTGCTTAGATTCACCTGTAGGTGTCCGTTCTTTACAATGACCACTATTTCACTAAGAAGATATTTTGTATCATTTTGACTTAGCCCAACATGTGCATGGCCATGGGACCTGGACAAGACATGCTGGACAGCACACAGATCATAGGACAGATCTTATTTCAGAAAGCCAAGGTAATAGTGGGCCCGGCTTCTTTCATCTTCATTTGAAATTGTTTTTAAAAATCTCCTGATGGTGCTCATGACAAATGAAACAATTTAAGGCAGGCAGCAAGCTCACAAGCTGTGCTGAGGAAATGTTGATTCATGTGTGTTGGAAGGCTGCTTTCAGAAGTGCTCTGCTTTTGTCTGACTTCTGACAGGAATTATGTGTTAGCCCAAGTAATCAGGAAAACATTCTGTATCTACCTGAGTACTTCTGGCAGTGGGATTCTTGACTGTAAGGCTCTCAATTTATGTGGTCTCAGATTGTACCCCACTGGTCCAAATATTCAGTAGTTTCTGAGATCGCTGCCTGCGAATTCACCTGACCTTTTCCTAACTTTTTGTTGGGGAATCGGTACCCAGTGAGACCAGTGTGACATGTTCTACCCTACATCCATATTTTCCAAATGTTGTCTTCCATTTGCCCCCATGTTCCATGTCAGAGGCTCTGGAGACAGGTTTCTGACTGAAAAAACAAAAACAAAAACAAAACAAAGGATGGCCTGTCGGTGAGGAATCGCAGATAGACATAGTTTTAATATCTTACTTTTTATCATTTATTTATACCTCTGTTTTGTGTATGTGCATGTCTATATATGTGCACATAAATATTTCAAAAATATAAAAAACAGTTTGGGAGCAATTACAGAGTAATAGAAGCACACTTCAACACTGGACACCACCCTTTTTCTGCAGTTTCTTTCAATGACTGTGGGTTTATTGTCAGTGGGCTGTTCTAAATGAACAGATTCTATTTAGGGTGAGCATACATGACACTATTTGGTGTCAGAAATTCTGTCAGCATTATTAGCCTGGGAGTCAGAGAGATTTGCCCCACACTGGGAACCCTTCTCAGGAAGGCACAACCTCCCGACCACTTACTTGAGTGCTGCCATGTGGTTGTTAAAACTAGGGTGCCAATAGAGTGCAAATGATGTAGGTATCAGGCAAAGGGATTTGCGTTGAAATGGGATTAGTTTATTTCATGATGCAGATCAAAAAAAGAAACAAACACTTTAAAACATGTTTAGACTCATTTTTCTTGTAGAATTGAAAAAAGCAACTAACCATATTGGTAAAAAAAAGCACACCAGACAGAGGAGGGAGGAACACAAGGGATTATGGTGTTGGTTCATGGATGATGTGGCAGCAGGAGAACTGTGGGGTCTACACCTGAAAGGTAAAACCAGTTACTGTACAAACATGTACAGTGATGTAAAAGGAGCAGTGAGGACCCCAAAAATGGCTTCAGAAAATTTTCAGAAGCCTCCTATTGAAAAAGACACCTAATAGTAGGTTGTAGCTAGGTTAGCTGAGGTGGACTGAGTGGGACTGAAGTCTTTCAAGGCATCCCTGGCACTAGTCCTGAGAGAGAAAACTCCATGAGAAGTCCCAAGGACGCCCTCTCACCGGGCATGGATAATAATTTGGCTTACCTACTCCTAAACTTAGGTTTGCTTGGCTGTCTTTCAAATGAGATTGGCTCTCTTGTGTCATAACCTGTATGCCTGAAATTTTATATTTGTGGGGACTAGACATGGGCCAAGCATCTCAGGAGATTCAAGATTATGCCAAATACCTGGGTCTGGGAGGAGAAAAAGGGGAGCTGTGGGGGGAACTAGTAGTGGGGAAGGAGAGAGATGAGTAGTAGCTGTTAGTAAGCAGGCAACAAGCAAACTATGGTTGAGAGCTACTTTGACAACTGATACTACTGGACAGATTAATGGTATTCATTTTGGCTTTTTTGTTTATAACACTAAGCATGAATGAATTTTCTAGGACTTATATGCCTTCGCAACCCAGGAAGTGACTGGACCCCTGGCTTCAGCTCATCAGTGGGTGAATATGACAGATGTCACTGTCATTCTCAATTCCACACACACAGTAAGTGTCACTGATGATGCCATGAGGGTAAAGCTCTGGGGATAGCTCATGATTTACTAGAAGTTAAACTTCTGTTTCTTTTTGTTTTTATTTTCAAATTCTTATTCTGTAGGCAAAAACATGTAAACCAGCGTTGGGCTACAGTTTTGCAGCTGGCACTATTGACGGAGTTGGAGGCCTCAATTTTACACAAGGTGAGGTGAAGTTTGATAAAATCTGTGCTTCCAGGTTCTGAAGACTCTGAGTTCTGTTCTCTCTTAGGGTTTAATGGTCGCCAATACATTTGCTATTTTAATTTTTTAGCTCAGGAGAGTGTAGGGTTTTCAGGTTTATGACAGATTTCCCTAGAATAGGTGTCTTTTTAAAATTTTTTATTTATTAAAATAATATAATAGTTTATTTTTGTATCATTTAATTTTTCCATCTCAGTTGTTATATCTTTGGGCTTCCTATCACCAAATCACCCATGTGCCATCACCATAGTCCAGTGCATTTCTCTCCCCCCACTGTTTTTGATCCCATTCCCCACTCCACCCCCCCATAAAATGTCTCTGGTCTATAGCTGTTCATTATTATTATTTTCTTGCCTGGTCCATTATATTCCTGCTATGAGTGAAACCATCCAATATTTTTCCTTTTCTTTCTGGCTTCTTTCACTAAGCATGATCTTTTCCAGCTCCATCCATGTTGCATGTGTTTTTTTTTTGGTTGCTGAGTAATATTCCATTGTGTATATATACCACATCTTTCTAATCCAGTCATCCACTTTTGGGCATTTGGGCTGTTTCTATATCTGTCCAATTGTAAATAAGACAGCAATAAACATGGGGTGCAGGTATCTTTTCGAATCAGTGTTTTTGTGTCTTTTGGGTAGATACCTAGAAGTGGGATTGCTGGGTCGTAGGGAAGCTCCATGTTTAGCAGTTTGAGGAACCTCCAAACAGTTTTCCATAGTGGTTGTACTAGGTTGCATTCTCTCCTGCAGTGCAGGAGAGTTCCTTTTTCTCCACATCCTCGCCAACATTTGTTGTTGCTAGTTGTTTGAAGATGTGCCATTCTCATTCTCATTGGGGTGAGGTGGTATCTCATTGTGGCTTTAATTTGCATCTCCCTTATTACAAGTGATGTTGAACATTTTTTCATATGCTTGTTGGTCATCTGCATTTCCTCTTTGGAGAAGTGTCTTTTTAGCTCTTCTGCCCATTTTTTGAAGGGGTTGTTTATTTTTGTTGAGATTCACCAGTTCTTTGTATATCTTTGTGATCAATCCTTTATTGCTATTTTTGTGTAAGAAAATTTTTTCCCAATCAGTGGGGTATCTGTCTTTTGTAATGTCTCTTTTGCTGTACAGAAGCTCTTTAATTTGATGCAGTCCCATCTATTTATCCTCGCCTTCACTATCACTGCATTGGGTGCTCTATCTTTAAAGAAGTCTCTGAAGTGTATGTCGTGTAGTGTTTGACCCATTTTTGCTTCCAGGTATTTTATGGTTTTTGTTTTTATGTATAGGTCTTTAATCCACTTCGAGTTGATTTTTGTGTATGGTGAGAGATAGTGATCTAGTTTCATTTTTTTGCATGTAGCTTCCCAGTTTACCCAGCACCATTTGCTGAACAAACTTTCTTTGTTCCATTGTATCTTCTTTGCTCTCCTTTGTCAAAGATTAGCTGTCCATAAACCTGTGGGTTTGTATCTGTTTTCTATCCGAAGCCACTGGTCTGTATGTCTGTTCTTGTTCCAGTATCAGGCAGTTTTGATTATTATGGCTTTGTAGTATAGCTTGAAGTTTAGGATTGTAATGCCTCCATTCTCTTTCTTCCTAGTCATGAGAGTTTTGGCTATTTGAGGTCTTTTCTTGTTCCATATGAATCTCATCAATATTTTTTCTATTTATATGAAGAAACTTTTATTGGGATGGCATTAAATCTGTATATCACTTTAGGTAGGATGGCCATTTTGGTGATGTTAATTCTCCCGATCCATGAGTGGGGGATCCATTTCATGGTGACTTCATGAATTTCTTTTAACAGTGTTTTGTAATTTTCTTTGTTTCTTTTTTACCTCTTTTGTTAGGTTGATTCCCAGGTATTTGATTCTTTTTGTTTTAATTGAAAAGGGGATTTTTTTTTTCTACTTCTTTTGATTGGTTGTGTATAGGATGGCCTCTGACTTTTGTGTGTTGATTTTATATCCTGCTACCTTGCTAAACTGGTTGATGGTTTGGATTAGTGGAGTTTTTAGGGTTTTCCATGTAAATTTGCAAATAAGGATAGTTTACTTCTTTCCCTATTTGGGTTGCTTCAATGTCTTTTTCCTGTCTTATTGCTCTGGCTAGAACTTTCAGTGTTAGAATAGGTGTCTTTTAAACTTAGTTTCCCACTGATTGACGTAGAGATAGAAATAGACCTTTGTATTTCAATTTGGGGCTGGACAGTTTTTAAAAATGACTTAGAGATTTTGCTTATTTTAAGTTAAATGTTTTTATTGTTGTGACATTCAACTATTAAGTAGATTTTAGGTGTATAGTCTTATATACTAACATCTGTATAGACAGTGTATTTACCACCTAAGTCTAGTTACCATCCTCCATGCACTGAGTCCTTTTACCACATTCTTTCCCTTCCCCTTCTGGTAACCACTGTTGTTTTCTTAAGAGTTTGTTCTTGCTTTTATTTATACTTGTTCATTTATTTTGTTTCTTTATCTTCCACATATGAATGAAATCAAAGTGTCTTTCACTGTGTATAAGTGAAATTAGACAGTATCTTTCTTTTGACCTGTAACTTACTTCACTGAGCATAATTCCCTTTATGTCCATTCATGTTGTTAACTGTGTGCAACATTTTTTAAAATAGATTTTTAAAATCTTTTTTAAAATAGCCGAATAATTTTCCATTGCATAAATAGAATCATTTGTTCCTTAACCATGAGGATACATTTTAAGGAATATGTCATTAGATGTTTTCATCATTATGTGAACATCACTGGGTATACCTACACATACATATGTGGTCTAGCCTCCTGCACACCTGGCTATTTAATATAGTCTGTTAGAATTATTGTCATGTATTTGGTCTGTCCTTTGCCAAAATGTAGTTAAGGGATATATGGCCACATTTTCTTTATATAATCATCTGCCAGGGATGGATGATTTTCAATTGTGCTGGAGCTGTAAGGGGGGTTAGAGAAGGTTTATACCTTCAATAGTGTGAGTCAGCTCTTCACTTGGTTATCTGTATCTTTTCCTTGATTCATTTACTAAGCAAAATTTCCTCAGGTCTTTAGGATTCTAAAGCTGTAGTCCCAGGTCTCCTTCCTGTTTCTATTTCCACAAGTTTATCACTTATTATCATGGGTTGTGTACCCATGGGTTCTTATTATCATGGGTATATCATGGGTTCTTATTATCACTGTAATAGGCTTTATAAAGCAGACAAAGTAGAAAAAATGGAATATCATCCACAGGCATATTTGCATATTTTGGAAACCATTAATTAAAAAATAATGAATACAGATGCAATTTGCTAAATTCAGTTCCATCTTTCCTGGTAATATTTAATTTAGTCATAAAAATCATTCATTTACTGTGTACAATCCAGTGGTTTTTAATTTACTCACATATGATCAATCACCATGTTATCTTTTTTTATATATGCATATTTTGGAACCATTAATTTAAAAAAGTGAATACAGATACAGTATTCTAAATTCTGTGTTATCTTTCCTGGTAATATTTGATTTAGACAGATCTGAAGTTTTATACGCCAAATAATTCCCTTATATGTACAATTAAGTGATATTTAGTATATTCACATATATGATCAATCATCATCAGTCAATTTTATAACATTTTCATCACCTTAACAAAAAATCCTGTATACTCTGGTTATCACAATCTTCCATCTTTCCCATACCTAAGCAACTGTTAATTTTCTTGTTTTGGATATTTCCTATAAGTGGAGTCATAAAGTGTGTGACATTTGGCATTCCTTCTTTTCAGCTAGATCATGTTTTCAGAGTCCGTCTATGTTACAGCCTGTATCAGTACTTCATTCCTTTTTTAGTGTTAAGTAATACTTCTTGAACGGTTACAACAGATTTTGTTATGCATTCCTCGGTTGATGAATATTGGGTTGTTTCACTTTTTGAATATTATGAATAACGCTGCTATAAATATTCAGGTACATGCCTTTGTATGGGTATATAATTTCATTTTCCTCTTGGGTATATGCCTAGAAGTAGAATCATAGATTATTTGGTAATTGTTTGTTTAAACATTTGAAGAACTTCCATACTATTTCCAGACTATTTTACATGCCCACCAGAAATTCTCAGGGTCCTGATTTCTCTATATCTTCATCAATACTTATTATTTGACATTTTGATTCTAGTCATGCAAGGACTTTGAAGTGGAATCTCATTATGATTTTGATTTTGCATTTCCCCAAAGATCAGTGACATCTGGTGTCTTTTCTTTTTCTAATTAGTAATTTGTTTATCTTTCTTGGAGAAATGTCCATTCATATAGTTTTATCATTTTTAATGCATATGTTATCTTTTATATATGCATATTTTAGAACCATTAATAAAAAAAAACAAATACAGTTGCAATTTGCTATATTCATTCTAATAATATTTTTATTATTGAGTTATAAAAGTCCTCTTTGTATTCTATAGTCAAGATCTTTATCAGATGTATGATTTGCAAATATTTTCTCCTGTTATGGTTCTACTTTTTTGACTATGTTATTCAAAGAATAAAAAATTCTTTGAATTAATTGAATAAATTAATTAAAATAAAGTGATCCTTTTCTCTCTTTTTATTCATGCTTTTGATGTCCTTTCTAAGAATCATTTGCCAAATTTGGTATCATGAAAAGTTACAGCTATTTTCATCTAAGAATTTTGTAGTTTTAACTCTTCTATTTATATCTGATCTATTTTGAATTAAGTTTATAGATGGTGTGAAATAAAGATGCAACCTAATTATTTTGCTTGTGCAAGTATGTTGAACTAAATATATTCTTTCATTCTGTTGACCAAACTGAGGATCTGAGTAAGTAAAATCTCCTGTTTTAGACTACCTCTTCTATTATGCAGAATATTTGGAATTATTGAACAACAACTATAATAAAATCTTTGAAACTCCTAAATATATTGTACACTGTCAAGATGATGACATTGTGTTAATACATTGGAATCATATTAATTAGAATATTTCTTATAGGGATGACTGAAGGAATTCCATTTTGGGAAACTATTCGAGATCAAATCCTGGGCAAGCCATCTGAAGAAATCAAAGAATGTCATAAACCAAAGCCAATCCTTCTTCACACTGGTGAGGTAATGCATTTTGATTATAAAGATGAAATTAGTATATTGTTATTTTAAAATTTGTGAGTTATCAAATATTAATATTAAATCTTTATTGACATGGTCATTCTTATGCAGATCACATCAATTTTCTGATATTTAAAATAGAATGGTGTAAGCCTAGTTGTAAGGAACCAGGGGTATGATGATTAAATATATTCACTCAGATTTTTGCATCTATCAGCAGAGAATCTGTCAGAATAGCAGAAAATATGAGCAAGGATGGCATTTATGTATTTGGGATTAATTTATGTTGACGGTTGGGATTTCACACAGAATATCTGTACAGAAACACATTTTAGGTCATATAAAAAGGAATATATTCATGTCTCACTTTTCTTGTAGTTCAGATAATAATTTTTTTAATAATAGTTTATTTTTACATATTTTTGTGCATTTTCCCATCTCAGTTGCAATCCACTTCAGATAACAATTTTATCAACAGCAGTATTCTTTGACCCTTGTTTGGAATATGGGTTTTTACATTCTGAATTTCAAAATGTCATACCCGTGTTCCTGGAGACTTGGGATGTTTACACAGGAAACACTTTTAAATGCAGTTTTTCCTAATGCTTAATCAAAATTCTTTGGAAGAGAGAAAGAGAAGAAATGAATAAAGGGAAAGATTCTGTGCTAATTGTAAGCATATTAAAAGATAGAATCTCTTGGAGAAAACTTAGAAATTAAGGCAAGACTTTGGAACTGAAAAGTTAAGGTGTTATTAGAGTAAAAAGTGAAACCAGTAAGTTAACCTATTCCAAATAATGGAATTCTTTACTCATCCTGTTTAAATTTAGTTTCCACAGTGTTCTAGAAGAATGCTTGGTTATCTTTTACACATTATTACTTCAGTAACATATCCATCACAAACTTAATTGATGAGAAATTAAGTGTAAGTCATAGAAACATTGACAATTAAGATGCACAGGACTAGATAGAATATTTACTGCAAATTTTGATGACAATTGCATTACATCTATATATTACTTTGAGTAAAGTGCCTATTTTAGTGTGGTGTGGTAACATACACCTGAAGAGGTATGATCATACACTTCTAAATCATATACAATTTTGTAAACCAATGTTATCTCAATAAAAATGGCACAATTAACAAGATAAATAAATGATGATTAGAACATGGCAAAGGAATACTTTATATCATAAATTGGTAAGAAAATTTATGATAGTAAGATAAAATACCAAAGTCATCTGGAAACATTGTATTTATTTTTATCCTTCGTTTAATTTTTATTGAATTAACTTGGGTTTTTCACACTGTATATGATTTAAGCCATTGTCTTCAAATGATGTTACCATATTACACTCACCAGGAGGCCACATAGTCCTCCATCACAGTCCTCTGGGTTCCCTACACACTTTCCTTCCTTCTCTTACCCTCCTCTTCAGTACTGGGCTCTTCAAAATCTTAACTCCTTTAATGAGGAGACTCCTGTGAACACTGTCTCTTGCCTGTAGAAAGAATAATATGCCTAACACAGTTTCCATGTTTTGGGTTTCTAGCTGTCATACCCTAATCCCTGGCACCCAGATATTGTTGATGTTCAAATTATTACTATTGGATCCTTGGCCATAACTGCCATTCCTGGGGAACTTACGTAAGTTTTGTTCTCTAAATTTTGTAGCTGAATATGCTTATTGTATGTAAGTTTCTATTGGAATCACTTACTATTATGAGCAGATAATTCTGCATTGACATTTCTGTGCTATTTTTGACAGCAGTTACAAATATTCCTAACTACTTTTGGTGGGGCCTCTGAAGCATAATTTTCTTGATGCCTTTTACTAGTGGATCAATGTCAAACAAAGATGAACACTTGAAAACTTCATCCTGCATTTAAATGATGATGTGAATTATTTTGTCAGCAGAAAGTCTTGAAATGATATTAAAATATAGATACTTGAAGCCATCCATTTTGGTATTAAAAATACAAAAATAACACTTTCCAGGTTTATTGAGATGGAGTCAACACATCACAGTGTTTGACTTAAACATTGTGGAAATGATAACCAAATAAGTATAGTTAACATCCATCATCTTAAATAGACAAAACATTTAAAAAAGAATGGAGGCTGAGGAAAATGGGTGGACAGGGTCAAAAGGTACAAACTTTTAGTTGTAAGATAAATAACGTACAACATGATGGCTATGTTAGCACTTCACTGTGGTATATTGGAAAGTTAATAGAATAAATCAAAGATGTTCTCATCAAAAGGAAGCTTGTTTAAAATATTCTTCTTAGGCAGCCTTTCCTGTCTATTTTATATATTTCCAGTTGCTCAGGCACTGCATTGTAGTCTTTCCTTTTCTTAGTTTTCCCCTCATTGAATCTTTTAGCAAATTTCATACATTCTAACCAGCAATTTATATCTCTTCCCCACTGACTTAAGTCACCACTGTCTTTCTCCTGTATTAGTACAAAAACTTGTTGTCCCACCATCTTGCTTCCTCTTTTACTCTTCTGTAGTCTTTTCTCAATACAACAGGCAGAGCAATTCCTTTAAAACTGACATGAAAGCATGCCACTTCTCAAAACCCTCTAAAGGCTTCTCATCTTATCCAGGTAAATCCTCAAACCTTTACAATATCCTACAAAATCCTATGTTAGCTTCTCTTCAGCAACCCCTCCAGTCTGGTTTCAGACCACTGCGCTGACTTTCTCACCCCTGCTTCAGCTACCTTGGCTGCACTGCAACTATCAGGCCACCAAGCATGTGCCTGGCTTAGAATTGTGAAATTATGTTTCTTTTCCCCTGAAACACTTACCCTCCAGTTATTGCTGTGACCAGCTCTTTTATTCCTTCAGTGTTCTGCTCCAATATCTAACACAAAGGCCAGTCATGGCCTCCACTGTTGCCTACCCATCACTGTCACTGTTACTGGTATCAGCACCAGAACCATCATCACCACCACAACACATCGCCATTCCCATTCGTTCTTCCATACTTTATTATTCTCACAGATTTGTCATTTTTATTTGTTTATTGGCTATCTTCTCTCCCAAGGATGTACACTCCATATGGTTGCATTGTTAGCATTTAGAAGTGGGTCTAGTTAGTAGTAGGTGCTTAGTGTTTTATTGAAAGATTACATAAATGGATGACATGGTAAGTCCTGTGTATACAGGAACAGTATGTTCTCTAATTGCCTCAGTATTCACTAACTTAGAATGGAAAGAATATATTTTTTATTAAATCCATGAAAGAAAAATGACCATAATCTTTTCCCAATGATTTTTATTGACTCTCTTTTCCACCTTCTAGTTGACTTATTTAGTTAAGAATTTGCCTTGAAGATAGAATTGTAGAAGGAAAGCTCTAATGTTGCATGGCTGATGAATTCCTGCATACTTTACTAATTGTATTGATAAGCCAGGATGACTTTTTGGATTTCATTGTACGTCTATGTGTATGCTTTGCATATATTTTGAATAGAAAATACTTCAATAATTCTCTTTTCCTGACTCAGGACCATGTCTGGGCGAAGACTTCGGGAGGCAGTTCAAGCAGTAAGTTAAAAATGAAATATCTGTGTATTCATGTATGTTTTATAAAAAGAATTCCCTAACTCTATAAACTAGTAATTTTTAAATTAGTGATTTCTGAGATTAAATAAATTGTAAACTTATTTACAATAATGGCTAGAGGTGAATATGAAATATAAAAAAGAAACCTAAAAAATGAGAGGCATGGTTAGAATAAAATTATTTTGATATTTATATATTAACATTTAAAAATTGATAGTGGCTTTATGGATCAAATATGAAAAACCTCCAACTACCTTAATTTGTTAAAGTCCTATATAAATAAAACCCAACTAACATGTGTTGAGAATTCTGTATTTAATCTTTATTGTGATTTTCTTTATCATCTAGAAATGTTGTAAATGGTTCCCAAATGATATTATTAACAAATGTCTTAGTACTTGGAGTTGGAAATAACCACAAATCTACTATACTTTTTAGGATATTGATAAAATGTTATATTTTATTAATAAAGATTTGACATCTGAAATGAATCCACTAAGATACTCAGATTCATCAACTTGCCTAGATGTGAAGAACAGAGTTATGACTTTTTACTCACGACTCAGATACTTCTGCTCTCTGAGATGGTTTTGATCACTAGGAAGAACATTAAGCAAGAGATATTCATGATTCTCATCAATAATTGCGTGTTAAGTATAACTGAGATGATGTTCTTTAAGATGAAAGATCATTTTATTGGACTACCTTTCTCTCTCTAGGAATTTGCATCCAATGGGAGGCAGAATATGACTGTTGTTATTTCTGGTCTATGCAATGTTTACACACACTATGTTGCTACCTATGAAGAATATCAGGTAAAGGATACTGCTACCACAATGATCACCACCACTCCCTTCTATCCTTATCCTCCTTTATTATTGAAAATAATATATTTAATATAAGATATTACAGCAAGTAAAGTAAAAAGGTCTCATCATTTAATTGAACTATATCCTGTGTCAATATTCTTCCTTCGTGGTGTATTTGAGAAATGATTTTATTTCAGAGCAGATAAGAGAATGATAAGCCAGCATTTGTATTTGGGAGTTGCAGGTTTATCATTTCTAAGTTCAGGTCAGAATGATAATCTCACTGAATTGCACTTTTCCTGAAATTATTTTCTCAGTAGCACTGGTAGTAAATCTAGGTTGTACTGTGCAGCATTCATTATCTGTAGTGCTTTTGGTCCCTCAAGCTTTTGTAGAAGCTGAAGGGTCCCACTGATAGTTACTATGTATTAAATGCTCTAGCTAAGGACTTTGTAAATGTGAGCTTAAGTAATCTTCACTATAAATCTTAGGTCCAAGAAGCTATAGTCATAGTTGACTGCCTACTGAATTAGGTAATTATCATTCATTCAACAGATATATATTGTTATCTACTGTATTAGCCACTATCAGGGTATAAAAGTGAAGAAGAATCTGCCCCTGTTTTGAAGACCACTACAGTTTAAGGTCTGGTAAAAGAGAAGAAAATAAACGATTGTGTTTGTGTGAAAGTGACACTTAAGGTATGAGAAAGCACACCAATGTAGACTGGGGATTTGAAGGTGGGGACTTTGGGGGAGATGTAACATCTGGCTGAATTCTGGAGAATGAATTAGGGCTAGTTAGGCAAGTAAAAGTTGGGGAAAGTGTTCCATACTGAGGAAGCTACATAGGCAAAAGTCTATAAAGGAAGGCTAAGTGCATGAAAGGGCCATAACTACTTGGGTATCATGGAGTAAGTATGAAGCATCTTCTGAGGTAGGCTAAGTGGGTGGTAGGATTAGTTGATGGGAATCTTACACAATATGTGCAGATCTTTGCCTCAATAAGGAAAGGGTTGGGAAACTGTAGTCAAACTCCAAGGAAGAAGTGCTCTGATCCAATCTGGATTTTGAAATGTCACTGGATGGCAGTGTAGAAAGTGAATAAGAAGGACTAATGTGGAGGCATATAGTTAATTAAACAGCCGTAATATGGTCTGGGTGAGAGCAGAGTATTTGGCTCAAGATACAGCAATAGAGATAGAGGAAAGAACTCAAAAGACAGAAGAAAGATAAGTCTTGGCAGCTTACAGGATACATGGTGAGAGAGAGAGTCTATAATGATTGCCAGATGACCCTGGCATACGAGATTGGAAAGATGAAATTCAGTGAGGTGAGCAATGTTGCAGGGAAAACTGATTGATATGTTTGGAGTGATGAATTCCATTTCAGATTTGACGAACTTGAAGTTCTGATGGAGAAACAAAGGCTCAAAGTTCAGGTAAAAGGAGGTATAGATACATTAGGTTCTATTTATTAGCTTCATGATGAGCTAAATGTTCTCCAGATAGTAGCATAGACAACCAGTTCATCTAGAAATGACCAAAACTGTTTTGTCCCTCTAAGTTCTTTAATTCATAGGTACTTAAAATTTATATTACAGGCACTTGCTTAAATATAAACTCCTGAGTCACCACTCATATTAGGTGGACTAACAATTCAAATGACATAATCCGCTGCCTTTAAAGTTTACTTTATTTGGTAAATGGAAATGCTCACTCTCATTTGTCATAGTAAATCTTGAATTTTATGAGCTGTCCAGGCATCACCCCTTCCTACATGATCACTGAAAGTGGACTGAGATAGAAGAATGACTGAATCTGCTCTGCCTTCCTTGCAGGCTCAGCGATATGAAGCGGCATCTACCATTTACGGACCCCATACTCTGTCTGCTTACATCCAGCTCTTCAGAGTCCTTGCTAAAGCCATTGCTACAGTAAGCCAAAATTATTTACATGTGTATCTAAGACGTGGGGAGATGTGGAGGGAGACAGAAGAGAACTTTGGCTTTGACTGTTCAGTTTCTTTGAAGACGTTCGTATTAAAAATAGTTGCAGTTACGAAATAACTGTTAAGAAATAAAGGTGATGGTAAATTCAGATTAAATTCAGTTAGCATCTTTTGGTTGTAACACAGTTTTTTTGTATATATTATTGCATATTATTGTCATAATCATGGTGTGAATCATGGAGATAACTTTTTTCCCACCATTTTTTTTTTCAGATGAGCAAATAAACTGGGAAGTGATAAATTTACATAATTGCAAGTTGATATTGAATCAGCATTCTTTAATTCTGGTCACATTCTCTCTAATCACTTCACACATAGACCAGGTCAATTCTGACCTGTCCATTTTCCCAATTATAGCATGGCTGAAAGTGGAATGTGTTTTCTGATCACAGGAATCTTAAAATTAGTGACATGTTTTTACGTTATTGCTGGCTTAAAAATAACAGTTGTTATTATCAATGGAGGCTTAGATTTGATAAGGTGCAGTAGTAATGTGGAATGTGTATTCACATTCTATCTACTTAAAATATCTGCACCTAAAGAGATTTACTTAAAGGAACACCACTTGTGGAAATCTTCTCTTTGGGATAGTTATTTATGCAGCTGTACTGTGGAGTCTGGAGATGAGTCAACAGCCAGGATAAAGAGCATAATTAACAGGCCCTTTTATTACATGGTTAAGCCCCACTAATGACTGAAATAATCATGGCAAAATAAACAAAGTCCAAAGAAAGAAATTGGGCATGTTAAATTAAAACAAAGGTAATAAAATGAAATCGAAATAACTCTAGAACAAAACAGTTGAATATTGGCAATTATATATACCTTCACCTAATTATTTACCGATTTTGTATTTGGAGTTTTACTGCAATATATTTACTAAGAATATACTTTGATTATATTATTATATTATCATAACATTTTTCCTAATTTTAGGTTTAATATTTTGAAAAATTATCATAAAAGCTTTGTACAATATTCAAATTATATAAAAAAGCATAAACCTATAACCTATTCAAGGAGATAACCACTATTTATTACTGTCGTAGGCTTGTATATATTTGAAATATATCTTCAAATTTCATAGTAATATATATATTTTCTAAGATTTATTTATTTATGCATACAAAACTGGGGTACAGGCCAGAAGTGCAGGGGCAGTGAGGGAATTCACCAGAGACAGAGTGGGGAGCAGAACAGGTTGACTGATGAAGTACATTGCTGAGGGGAGCAGCCGGCGGGTCAGGAGAGGTCTGCCGCACCATGTGGGTCATCTCCAGGGCAGGGACCGAACTCATGCTGAAGTGGCTTTAGCTTCTTAGTGTTGTGCTTTAACCAGCTGTGCCACCAGGGAGTAATATTTAGGGAGAAAAATATGATTCATTTTTCAAAAATATTTTTCAGAGTAAATTTGATCGTTGTGTATCTAAGATGAGCTATGTGATCCTAAGTACTTCCAAACCTGTTTTCTTCATTTGCAAAATGGAAATCTAAGCACTTTATTTATGTGACTTTTGTAAAGATTAAATATATAAAGTAAAAAGTAAGGATTAAAGTACATTACATATATATGAAAGCTATTTAAACTCTGAGATTAGCACTATGATGATTTTACTAAAGGTGGCAAAATTTGTGGAAAATACAGATAAAGCCAGTCAGGATATGGGCTGACCTGACATTTTAAATTTAAAATGTAAATAATCTTTAAATATCACAGAAAAGGATTCAGAGAGAAAGATTTCCTGGAGTGGCTCAACACTTTTTAAAAGTTAGAGAAGAATTATAGTGTCATGTTACAAAGACTATCATGTGTTAAGCCCTGTATAGTCATACAATAGAAAAATAACTGTTCCCCAACCTAACCCTGTGTAGTGTGCTTCTGATTTTGATCTCTGCTTATTGGAATATAATCCTAGAAAAGTGAAGGCTTTGCCTTTAACCCACATTTTCTTCCAATGACAGAAATTTAAGTTACAGATGTCTAAGCTTACATTTTAGCGAGGTTCCCCTTACATTTTGTTAAATGTGTTAGCCTTAAGTGTATGTGTTTGTGTTTTATGAATATGTTGCTGATGTGGGGGCAAAGCAGAGGGTTCTGTGTCTGCTCTGTGTGTTCTTTTAGCAAATGTTCTCTGTTCTAGGATACAGTAGCCAACCTGAGCAGCGGTCCAGAGCCTCCATTTTTCAAACAACTGTTGATCTCATTAATTCCTAATGCTGTGGATAATGCACCAATAGGCAAAAATTTTGGGGATGTCCTGATGCCAGTGAAACCTAAATATAAAGTGGTAAGACTCACTCACGAAGTGATCTTGGAATCCTTCAAAAACCTGCATTTTAGGATAGGGGAATGGTGTTCACTGCCACTACTTCTAATCATGCCATGGAACCACTGTTAGCAGTGATAATTTTAATAATTGTTCTTATATCTGCAGAGACTCTGAAATCATGAGACTGGACAAATATTTCTTAAGTGGTTACTATCATTTTTCTAAAATCAAAATTTTTCCTTCATGGATGCTCAGAAAATAGTCTCTGTTAAAGGATAGGAAAAGCACATAAAAGTAAAGTCTTGTATTGCTGCTAATTTATTTTCTTCTATCCTGTAACTTTGCTAAATCATTTATTTTAGTAGTTTTTGGGAGTGTATGTGACATCATTAGAAATTTCTATAAATAGTGCAAGGTTGTCTGATAATAAAAGGTTTACTTAATGCCTTTGGGATTTCTTTTCTGGCTGTCTGTAACTTTCTTTTCCTCTTACTGCACTGACTAGAATCTCCTACAGAATGTTGACTAGAAGTTGTGAGACTGTCCATCCTGGTTTCTGATTTTAGGAAGAAAAACATTCAATCTTTTACCATCGCTTTTTCCCCCTTCATATTAGGGTTTTGGTAGGTGCCTATACCATGTTTTTAAAAAGTTCTATGTTTAGTTTTTTGAGAGTTTGTTTTAACAATTGGTTGCTGAATAACTTGACTCAGTTTTTATTCTTGATTTTACTTTCACATCTCACTCTCAAGTTGTTAGCCCTTTAATTGTGTAACTTAATATTTAACAAATATTCATCAGATTTGTACGTTGATGCCTTAGGGAATAATAATTTTAATTTCTGCTCATAGATCTATGTGGGCTGCGGTGTGTATTTACACTTCAGGTCATCTTCTGGTTTTCCTATCTTTGAGTTTCGTCCTGGGGCTCCCTCAAGTCTCTGTATACAGACTCCTTTGGCCTGCAATGTGCGGGTGGCTTGGGCGTACTCTGTTCTCTGCTGTGCATACTCATAACTTCTGGTCAGTCCAGGACTGGGCAGAGCCTATCAAAACCAATATGGTTATCTTAGCTCCAGAAACACTGTGAAATGCCCAATTAGTCCACCACCCTAGCCACTAGCCTGCGGAGTTTGCCATCCTCCATCAATGACTATGTTTCAAGTGTGTTTTGCCACTGCAGCAGCAAACTAATTCATTTCATGGTCTCCCTGCTCTGGTTGAATTGTGCACCACAAAGGATGGGAACAACCCTAGGCAGGAGTGTCAAAGATTTGTGCAGTTTGACTAATAAACATTTCTTGGTTCTTGGTTGGTATATAAATGGCTGCTTTGACGGTTTTGTCTAAATCTGGGATTACTTGTTTAGTATAAGGAAGAACATACTGATCCTACTGTCATGTAAAAATTGCCTGTACTGTATCATTACTACTTGAATTGGCATATTGTGTTTATCTTAGCTCTCTGGAATTCTTAGTAGTTTTCCCCCAGTACGTTAGAGATGTTCCTCTACTGTTTTGTGGTTTGTGTAGTTTCAGCGACAAATTTGCTGTCATCCTTACTTGTATGTTCTAATAATACTTACTTGTATGTTTCTAATAATGTGCTTTTTCTTCTACTGCTTATAGAATGTTTTCCTTTTTACTTCTGGTTTTAAGCAATTTTATTTCAATGAGCTTGATGTTTCATTCCTTAAGTTCTTTGTACTTAAGTGAGTTTCATTGTCGTTCCTATCTTTAAAGTCTTATTATTTTTAGCAAATGCATAGAATTTGTTTCTTCAAATTTGTTTTTCCTATATTCTTTTCTACTGTACTTTAAGAACTTCAATAAATCATATATGAAGCAATTTGAAGTTGCTCTACATCCCACTATTTCTCTGTGCACTTTTTCCACTCTTTGTTTCCCCTGCCTGTTTTCAATGTGTATAGGTTTTTTTGCCTATATTCATCCAGTGTATTTTCTTTTCAGATACTGTAGTTTTTATATCTTGAGGGTGGAATTAGGCCTTTTATTTACTTTGCATCTAAACTTAGTATATTAATGCCCCTAGCTTTTGAATGCACAGAATACTGTTATGAGAACTATTTTAATGTCCTTGTCAATGAATTTGGTCATCTGTTTCATTTATGGGTCACTTTGGTTTGAGAATTACCTTATTATGAGTAGTATTTTCTTTTCTTTATATGCTTGATAATTTTTGATTACACATCAAGTAGAGTAAAATTTCTCTTGTCAGGTGCTGGGCATTTTACTATTAATGTAACTATGGGAAATTGCTAAGTTGTTAAGGGAAGCTGTTACGTTACATGGAAATAATTTGATCCTGTTGGCTCTTACTGAACATTTTAGGCAAGGCTGAAGCAGCTTTTATATTAGGGACAACTGTCCTCTGCATATTGTAGTAAAACTCTTTTAAATTATGAGCTTTTCTAGTCTTGCTGGTGGGACAGGAACTTTTCACAGTTAATTGTGAATTATGAAAAATCCGGTGATCATCCTTTCTAATTCTTTTTAAGTGTTCTTTTCCTAGCTTTAGGTAATTTCTTTACATGCTTGCAGAGTTGAGAGGCACACTCTACAAGTCTCCAGAGATTTCCATGTGTGTGTTTCTCCTCTCTCTTCTTATTCCATCTTATGAATTCAACTGATTGTCTTTCCTGGACCTTCACATCTACTGCGTGACTGAGGTAGATTGCCCGAATCTTTAGAAATTTGCTTTCTTTGTTCTGTGGCCTGTAAACTCTCTGAAGGCATCCAGCGTGGGCTATTCCAGGACTCTTTGTTTTCTGTTACTTAAAGATCATCGTTTTCATTGCACAATGCCTACACCTCTGATTGTTTAGTACATGTCTGTCCAGTTTTCCTAGTTGTTTCAGATGGGAAGATACACATACATCATATAATTTCTTCTTTTATCTTATGTGGTAAGTATAAGTGCAACTACATGAATGAGTTATCCATGGAAAGTTTTGATTGCTCTCACTTGCTTCGGTTCGTTTCCTGTGTGTGTGTGTGTGTGGGCAGTATGAGGAAATAGGAAGGACTGAAGAAGCCATCTAATGTGCTAGTATTAACTTTAGCTCTGTATTAACTTTAGTATTAACTTTAGCTCTGCATTTTTTGCTATATCTAAATCTACCAAAATAAATGTACTAGCTAAAAATTCTGGAGTAACTTACTGGTCTCAGATTCCTGTGCCTGTCATTGCTGAAGGTATTTTCTCTAATATTCTTAGGAGATAGCTTGTTTGATTAGATAGAATAAAATCTAGGCAGGCACCCAAGACCCCACACCACCTAATAAGTACTCATACAGCAAATATGAGTACAGCAAAAATATTCTTCTACTGGGCCTCATACAATGAATTTTTATTTTCAGGGAGAAGTTGCTGAAATTACATTTGTAGGGGCTAACCCAAAGAATTCAGCAGAAAACCGGGTAAGCATCAATAATTCTTTAGATAAATTTAAATCTACTCTTTAGTCTTTTATTCACTGCAGTAGTCCCCTAGAAATTAACAATATTAAAATAAAACAGTCTGGCTTTCTTTTCATCTTATTTTGTAAAAGCAGGAAAATTGTCAGTGGGTACAGTTAATGTGAAATTGAGTCTGGAAAAACAGTATGTAAGAAACATTTAACTAGCATTCACCTAGAGTTCCCTACCGCACAAGTCATATAAAGCTGGATTGACTTAAGAGGTGTTCATTTGAAAACAGCCTCATTTATGTATTCAAAATTTTAAACTCCACTGAATTTGCAAAACTAATCAGGGAAGTAAGAGTAAAGCGTGTCTTCGGCTGCTCTCCCTCCTCAGCAGTGCTTCTCCTGCTGTTGTGCAGACATCATGGACCCTGGGTGGAAGCTTCCTTGGCTCAGAGCCACGGCCACTGCCTTGCACTGCTTCTCTGCCTTGCACGGCTTCTCTGCCTTGCATGGCTTCTCTGCCTTGCACTGACCTTCTCTCTACTTCTGCTACTGGTGCTAATAGGGTATTTATTAACCTTGAAAAATGATGTAAGAAATTCAAGTGCAGTGTGAAAACAGACATCTGTACATCAAATAGAACATGAGAGAGCACCCCTTTCCCTAACCTTTTTTAGCTAGAATCACTGCCAGCAGTTTGCTACCTATATTGTCAAATGCTTGTTTTTATCATATATAAGTACATGTAAAAGTACATACAAATGTAATATCTGTTAATAAATTGAAGTAAATTTACTTTTCCATAACTCCCATAGTGTTGATAACACTGTGCAAGCAATGACTAGATACACTCTAGTTGTAAACATTCATATAATAAAGAAATATGTAGAAGAGAGTGAGCATGCAAAGGAAATATCAAGGTCAGACTTTTTACTGTGACTTAGGAACCATCCACTCTACTGATGAGCCATTCTTTCCAGGATCCATTGTCATTTATAATTCAAACTACTTTTCTTCCAAATGAACCTTCCCATTTCTAGTCATTACATTATTATTATTGCTGTGATAACAATTGTGGCAATGTGACATTGTCAAATATGACTCTGGGAAGAATATTCTATTAAAATAATCACATGTACCTGTTTGAAATAATATCACTAGACAGCAAAGCTATTTCAGAATGCTTATATGTTTATAACATTATTTTCAGAAGATAATTAAAGTGTCATAGCAGAACTGCAGAATGAGTTGTCATCTAGTCCTTGGGGTGGGAAAATACTGTCATTATTACTATGGAAAAGCAGGAGAACAAAAAGCCTAAAGAAAATAAAAGACTATAATAAGAATGGAATTTCTGCAAATGCTTGAGGACCAACATAAAAAAATTTCCAGCGCCTGTTTAAAAAATTAGTAATCATATTCTCACCACTATTTATTAAACATTTAAGTGTATACAGGGACTATGCTAAATATTTTTATACAGTATGACATGAATCTAACTAAATCTTTACTACTACTCAGTGAGTTAAGTTTTACTATCACTATTTTACAAGTGAATAAACTGAGCTCTAGAGAGATTAAATAATTTTTGTTAGTTATGTGTCTGGAAGAGATTAAGGTTGTGAGGTAGGGAAGAGATAGTCACATAGTTCTTATTCAGCAGCTAAGAATTGTTCTCTAATCTGTGCTCTAGATCTGTGCACTAGGATTTACCCTTTGTCATACATCATCTCAGGCCTCCCAGTGTCACTCTGACCTATTGGCCAGAAATCATCCTTTTTACAAATTGCCGGGTTATAAAAACCTTTTCATTGAATAGAAGCCATCATTGAGTAATTAGAGAAGAATTTTAAGCAATTCCATAAATAACTGACCCATTCAATAAAGGTTTATTTGAACACCTATAAATAACAGGTACAAAGACCTGGGATAGGGAAAGGTGAATTAGACAAAAGTCCAACTTAAGGAAAATTCAAGAGTTGTAACCTTTGATCTTTTAAGTTATTATTATATTACTCAAATCTGTTCTGTGTTTGAAGCTGAATTTTTGGCTCTGAGATAAATAATTACATCTATTTTCCAGTAGGAAAATAAAATCTGCCACTTATTTGGTCTTTTAGAATCCATTTTTGACACAATAGGGATTGCTTTTAGCACCACAAGGCAACAAAGCTTTACACATCATTTTCAATTCTTTCACTGGTGGAGGTACATTTACTTATAATTTATTTACCTGAAGATGAACAGATGAGGATGTTTTTCCATTTTCCTCCTAAATCTTGAGACAACTGGAGAAAGTCTTGGTATATATATCAAAAAAGAAAAAAAAAAAAGCAAAGGTTTGACTTATGCCTCAGGTTTTATTCTATCACTTCTCTGTTCTAATTACCAAAATTTGTTATCTGCTCTAACATTATGCTTCATTTGATTTTTTATAAAAATAGTGTTGGTTTTCATAGACTGGATAAATCTGCATTCTGAAACATTGCTGAGACTATTAAGAAGAACACTTAAGAATTTAGGTGAAATTCTAATATGATTTTCACAAAAGGAATTGTAGGTTGGCAAACAACATAGGGAGGATATGCAGACAGATTCAACCTGTGTCTGTGTCTGACCGGTTACACTAATTGCATTTCAGACCCATCCAACCTTTCTCACTGTGGAGAAATATGAGGCCACTTCAGAAACATGGCAGATAGTGCATAATGATGCCTCCTGGGAGACTCGGTGAGCCTATCTATTCAATATTTTGTGTTTCAAGTCTCGAAAAGTGTTCGCTAGTAATGCAGAGAAAACAAATGGGAAGACTGATTCAATACATGATATTGATGATGATATCAAATTCCCAAGGAATCTCCTATACATATTTAGTTGATTTATTAAACTTTATTTTTATTTATTTATTTATTTATTTATTTTACAAAACAGTGTGCTATAGGCTTCTGTAAGATTAGGTATTAATAAGGTTATTGTCACCATTCTTACAAACATTTTGTTAGTTTTCTTTTTTCCCATATTCATAGATCCCCTGAAAGCTAGATAGCTTTCTTGCAAATTGAGTGAAACGAGTGATGGGTGAAGATGATAAGACAGCCTTTAGAACCTGACACTCATTCTGGGAAAATGACAAATCTATATACAACCTGTTTTACATATGGTCAATGATTCTTTTTTCGAATTACTAAATCACAAGCTGTGGAGTTTTTAACTCTTATGGGCTTATGTAAAGTATGGACTATAATCATGTAGTTTCCACAGTAACAAATCTCTTTAACTGTTGTTATCAAACATGGTAGCTGAATAGATACTTATAATATTTGTCAATGTATCTGAAATAGAAAGTATTTCTGTTCCTGTGTATACGTTTCACACCACAGGACAGTGGCATGGGGGTGAATAAAAGTTTTAGCAATTTATGTCTAATTCAGATAACCTCAAACTAAGTGATTATTTGAATGTTGGGTTGTCCACTTGGTTGAGAACAGATACCATGTTGTGGCCCATGTGATAGCAAAATATGAATATGGGTATAATTTTCCCTGGTCTTTAGGACTGATTAGGGTATATTTTAATTATAAATCTGTATTTATTGTCAAAATAAACCTATTCATCTAATTATAAAAGGATGGTTTATTTTCAAAAGCCCCAAATCAGAATAGTCAAACACAGGATATGTAATGACATGTCTCTTGTACATCAGCAGTAGTTTTACCGACTGTTTATTAGAAGCCCTGTGCCTATCACTGAGAAACAGCAAATGTTGAAAATGTCATCTATGCCCAGGAGATTTTTGTAACTGAGGGAGGATATCAGTTAGCTCATTGTATCTCACTGTCTCTGTAAGAGTAAGTAGCTGTCTGTTTGATTTTCTGGTTTATTTTCTTTCTTTTCACCCATACCCTCCTAGAACAAAAATGCCATGAAACCTTGGACCCTGTCAGTTGTGCTTACTGCTGTACCCCCAGTACCTCTAAAATAAATTTAGGCATGTGTGCCCAGTAAATGTGTATTTATAACGCATGAATCTCCATGTGAAATGAAGTGTCACTTGACACCAGGAATAATAAGGGCTGTAAGATGATGTCTAGTATGAAAGCAGGAGATATCCTGTGTTCTGAACATCAGGGGGCTTCCTGGGATGGGTAAAACTTAGGTAGTTAGAAAAGTAGAGAAAATAAGGTATTTCTACCAATGGTCCAATGACTGTTTCTTAAGGATCCTTTTTTAGAAAGTAGGTATTTATCTGTTTCTTGCTAGTTACCTCCTTATCTGGAATAGCACCTTATGGTAGGAACTACCTGAATAGTCATTGAATGAATAATCACACACCTTTCTAATTATACTTGTAAAGACTGAAAATGGGCTTGTTTGTGTTCCACAGTTTCTATTGGCACAAGGGACTTTTAGGTCACAGCAATGCAACAATACAATGGCATATCCCACGGACCGCCCAGCCTGGAATCTACAGAATAAGATACTTTGGGCACAGTCGAAAGCAGCAATTACTCAAACCCATCATACTTCCATTTGAAAGCTCTTCTTCTACTTTTGAAGTTACAACAACTTGGTAAAATGTTGACAGGTCATTAGAAGAACAGCTGCACTCTTTTTTTACATTATTGATTTTACATGAATGTGAGCATTTTGTTGACTTCTACATTTGTCCCTGTTTGGGACAGATAGTTTACTGCTATGGGACAGAAGTGGGGTATATGTAAGTGTGTGTGAGTGTGCACCAGTGTCCCATTTATTTTGCTCTAGCAGTTTTGTATCTGCTGGTAAAATCCTGTGACTTTTTAAGGGACAGTTCCCTTTCATGTGAAATTTTCTGAAATGGAGTAATTGAAGATGTGTTAACAATGTTTAATCTGTATATTGATGGAATTACTGAATGTTTGAAAAAGTTTGAAGATATCACTTAATTTGATCTTTTTCTTTTCACAGACGAGAAAATAAAGCTTTGTGGGTTTAATGTTAGCATGAAGCAACAGCGCCTTTTCCCACAGTTATATTTAAAAAAATACTATGTAAGATTAACCAGAAATGTTTAAGCCCAATTAGGAAAAAAAAAAAAAAAGCATGAAAATTAGAGAGCTGTCTCTCTCTATATTGAGCATAGGCTTTAAAAGCAGTCATTCTGGAGTTGATATGCATAATCCAGAGTTGTTGCTGATGCTCAAATCACTTATGTAACTGCCTTAGGAGCCCAATTATGAGGCGGTCAGAGTTGTAACATTTTGATCATGCTGAGCGTTTTCCTAAGTGCCCTTATCTAACTGAATTGTTCTATGTGATTGTTTTTTTTTTTTCTTTTTTACAATTTTCACTAATCAGGTTCACCCCAATCACAAAACTTTTTGCTTTAGTGTAAATATTAAAAGAAAAACATTAAAAGTTTTAGAGAGTCATCAAAGAGGAGGCTCTAAATTCATATCTATCCTTTTATCACTAACTCACTCACTTGGGGCCATTCAATGGTAGAATATTTACCTACTCTCATACTCAGGATGGCATTTAGGGAGATTGTTTGTTATGAATGTGTAAGTGTCAAAAAGTAACTGTTGGTAGGTGAAGATATCCAATTCAATGCATAAATTCTGGGGAAACATTAAACGTTAGTAATTTGCAGGGCACTGTTTGGGTATCATGGGTATGGTACTCTAATCTGGGTGAAAAGAGGCACCAAACAACTTGGAAAAAGCAGATTTCAAAGCTATTTGTGGGCATTGTGAAAAATTCTACAGAATGAGATATGATGATCTGGCATCAACTGCCTGAACTTACTAACTTCATTTAAAATTATCCAAATTAATTAGGAATTCCCAGACTGAAAATGAATTTCTAAAAAAAAGTCTCACTTCTGTATATATTTAAAACCTTTTACCATTTTAGGGGAAATTATCTTTGTTTCTAAAGCAAAGTTTAAAACTTTAAAATAATGATAATTGATAATGATGATACTAACTTCCACTTCTGTTATATGGCTTAACCACTTAAGCATGCTGTCCTGCATTAGAATGAACCTGGAACATGTTTGGATGAATCAATATTCTAAAAGCTGATTCTACGGAACTTAATAGTAGAGAATTAGCCAAATGATATTTCAGAGGATAGCAATCCTTTTTTTTCTAATGATAACAGTCTTTAGTGTAAAAGATCAGAGTAGAAGAGCTTTGGTTCTATAAAAAAATTCACCCTATATTAGAACCAGTGCTATGGTTTTAATGTGTTTTTCATGACTTGGAACAGTTGATGAATTATTTTCCACTATTTCCATTGAAACCCAGCCTGTGTGACCTTGTGAATGTTGATTGTTTGCCAACAGCTTTGCCATGACAGGGTTCTATCTGCTGCTCTTTTTGCACCAGCCATGTCCACCCGTACTCTTGAGCCCAAATAATTCCCCGAAAGCTGTTTCTTTTTCCACAAACTACCATCTCTTCTAACCCATGCAGTTCCATTTCTGTAGTTTTGTTTGCAAAAAATAAAACCAGATCCCTGTATTCTAGAACCATAATTATTCCCAAGCATAAAAGAGCACCACATAGTGACTGATCACTTGATATGAAAACAGATCTTATGCCGCTCTGGCTATTGTTGGTAGTGACTCATGGGCCAATCCATGTGGAGAAAACTTGAAATCTGTCAGTAGGTTAGGGCTGGCGGGTAACTCCTTTAGAGAAGATTTTGTTTTTCATGTCAAAGTGTCTCTGTTTTACTTGTTGAACTATGTATACTCTGTTTTGAAGGATACTGTGAATACAAAAAGGACTGAATATTCCTTTACATTTTCCAATAAGTATTATATAAATTGTCAATATTTAATAGAATGTTTAATAATAAATTAATAATAATGTAGACACATGGACACCTTTTTTTCTTTCTAAGAGATGGAAGAAATGCTGGTAGATTCCACATAAATCAGGTTGGAAAATGATATAAATGTCTGTACGTACATAACAATCTAAACATAAAAGAACCACTTCATCCATTTCTTCCCGCCTTCCAAAGATTAATGGATGACAGAATATTTATGTTTGGCATTTTTAAATACAGGGACAACTAAGATTTTCTTAGGCAAATAGTTTTAATATTAAATTTTTTTAATGAGATATTTCTGAACAAAGAGGCTAAGAAAGAAAGTACTTGTAAATATCTTTTCCCAATTTACCTTCTTAGGCTTTTCCAAAGTAAGCAAGAACACTATTTTTGTATACTAGCATATGGATTTCATCTTTAGCTAACACATTTCATCATTACACGATCCTTTCATGTCTTTAGTTTTTCCAAATGTTAATGGTTCCTGGGCATCCAATCTGATATGTTGGGTGGGACTGGATTTTATGATTTCATGACGTATGTGATGTCAGAAGGAAATTTGCAACTTCCCCATGTAATTAGTTAGAATGTAGTCAGCTGTAGGTTACAAAATATTCCTGGCCAACGTGGGTCCAAACACCAAAGACATTCATAGTCTCGTGTAGCAACAAGTCTAAGGTGACAATTTTAGGTTTGAACACTCAGTGATATTATTGTTTCTTCTTTTTTTTTTTTCATTTTAACTTTAAATATTAGACTTGTCTCTTCTGGACTGTGAAAGAACTATGAAAGAGTATTCTGCATTTTATGTCATAAAATGTCTCGAAAAAGGGAGGAAATTTCTGATAGCAAAAAGATGACATAATGGCAGTAGCTATTATTTAAGTATGTCAGCAAAAATGGGTCAGTTAAGTTGCTACATTAGAAGATCTCCTAATCTCACCACATCCACTGAGGTCAGCTTCAGGATCTGAGCACATCTTCTTACTCAGGTGAGAAGCCTACAGGTTCTAATTCAAAACATGCTTCTATTATTAGGGGAAGGAGAAATAGACTTCAGTTATAGGAGCAAGTGAGCATGGGAATCAATCTTACATCAGTTCTTAAAGCTTTCCCCAGGAAATGACACATGCCACTTCTCAAATTTCATTGGTAAAGAGTAGAATAAGCCTCTTTGTGTCCAGTCCTGCTAGCTACTACTGTAGACAAGAAGGAATACCTGAATAGCATTTTTTTTTCTTTGTGGCTCTTTGAAATAGTTGGAACTAGTTTTACTCTAAGAAATATATTTTAGAAAAGAGAAAATTTTGGAACCGTAAAGACAACACTTGCTTTTTCTGTTGACAAGGTTTGCATTCATTCAGCAGATTTATATCAAACATACTTGATGGCATGCATTATGCTAAAATATAATAATGATGAAGGCAGAGCTAGTTCTTGCCATCAGGGATTTAGAGTTTAATGGATCAAGTAGACAGCCAAAATTGCTGAATAGATGGATCCTTATTGTTACTAGAATTGAGGGAGTTATAGGTGGCAGCTTCTATAGTACTAAGGACCATATAAACAGTAGCACTAGGTTTCCTGGAAGAAATAACATCTAAGCTAAGACCCAAAGGATATCAGCTAGGAGAAAAGTAATGGTATGTGTATGTTTATGTGTACATTTACAGGGCAAATGGACTGTTCCAAGTAGAAGGAATATCCAATAGGCTTACTTGAACTATAGTTAGAGTGTAAGTGATGCATGGTCAGAGATATAGCATTAATCTTTGTCTTCAAAAGTAAATATTTTGTATTATATTTGTGTTAGTATTTTCCTCCTTGAGCCTCATAACATAAATGTGTTTGAATGCATTTTCTCTTTGGATGCTAATAAAACATCTTTTGTAGCTAAGGAAACTATTCCTGGCTTTTAGATTCCAGTGACATTGGGTGTCACCATTTTGTCTTCATGAACTGTAAGTATGTGTCTTGGAACTGAATTTAAGAGACTTCTTATTTTTGCTTTGGACCAAATCACATTTCAAATGTATGGCCTTTTTTTTTTTCTCTCCTATACTTATTAAATTGTCAAGTACATTCAATAAAGAGGAAACTCTTCTTCTAGATGGAACTCAGAGTTCCAGCCTATGTCATTTAACTACTTACATATTTCAAAATGTGGCCATCAATAGAAATTTTAAAGTATTTTGGCATGTATAATTCCAGGATATTTGAGAACCAGCCTCTGTTGATTTTTTTTTTTTTTTTTTTTTTTACTAGCTGATTTAAGAAGCAAAGTAGAGGTCTGAGTTCAGGGCTGAACTCTACCCATCGGAGTACAAGAGGTCCAGTACCCCACTGCCTGCCCCCAGATGTTGGGAAAGATTGACTTGACCATATTTCCTCTTTAATTGTAGCTTTCTCATTC